AAAAAAAAAAAAAAGTAATAAGAGCCCTAAAGACCACAGTGAGGAGTGGTGAGGAAATCCTGAGTTCCTGGTGGACATCTTCCTGACTGGGGCGGGAGATCATCCTGTACAGCAGAGAAGAGGTCACTGGACCCCCAGGAGCTAAGTTTCAGGGCAAACAACATGCTGGGCCTTCCTGCTTGGCCTTCTGGTTTGGAAAATCATCACTTGCTATGTTAATAAAGACAGCAAGGCCCCCAAAAGAGGTGGGTCAAGAGACCCCTCCAAGCCAATACCTGTGAGCCCAGGCACCTGGTTCCCAAGCCCTAGGTACACTTCCAGTGCCTCCACGGATCACAGCATCTATCCAGCCATTCCTTCTTTTTCCAAGGTTCCCCAGTCTCTTTTCCTTATCTCTCCTTCCCAGAACCTCCAGATCATGGTCAACGCCCACCTCTGGCCTCCTCTCCCAGGTCTCCACAGCTCTTATCAGACATGCAGCCTGCCACTGGAGGCAATCCTCTAGTGGGCCAACGTCTGCCCACCCCTCTTGGGGGCCAACAAGCTTGGACATTTGTCTCAGCTAAAGAGTGCTGCAGTCTCTGTTGGCCTGATTTCATTTTTCAAAGGTCCAGTTCATATTTGGAACAGAGTGGAAGTTATCACAAGAGCTTCATGCTGACACTGCAGCAAAGAGAAATGAAGCCCAGTGACTGGGGATACTACACTGGCTAACAAACTTCACCCAAACTTGAGTTTAACTGGGAGCTGGGGTGGGGAGAGGCTGTGGGTTCAGAAGGAAGCAAAGAACAGAAGAAAGTGGAGGAAGTTCATAGAAAGCGTAAGACAAGGGAGGCTCCATGACAGTTTTCTGTTATCCAAGAAACCAACTCTGAGTCAGCATAGCCTATGTGCCAGATCCCCGTATGCAGGGACATCAGACCCAGGAACCATAAAAGGACTGAGGGCAAGTCAAGCCCATTAGTTATTCCCTGCCCTCTGTAAAAGGCGAGTTCTGTGTCTTGGTCTTTCCAGGAGTCACCTAGTGTGGCTAGGGAGGGCCACAGAGACTTCCTGCCCTGCTGGTTTGTTGCACAACCCGAGAGAGCCACGCACACTTCCCAGCTGAGTCACAGAGGCCCCAGAAATGCACACACTTAATTCTATCAATAACATGCCCCCAAACAGGCACAATCTCAGGCTGGTCTCATCTCCATTCAAAGTTGTGCAGCATGCCAACAGCTTGGGGCAGGTTGTACACAGTTGCCTTCCTTCAGCTGAAAGTGGCAACAGGAAAATTCACAGTGAGCACTGGTTATCTCTCCATTAGAACAAATATGAAAACTATAATATATAAAGAATATGGCCACTCAGAGCCCAGCTTAGCCAATGATCATAAGTTCTTTTTTTTTTTTTTTTTTGAGACAGAGTCTCACTCTTTTGCCCGGGCTAGAGTGCTGTGGCGTCAGCCTAGCTCACAGCAACCTCAAACTCCTGGGCTCAAGCAATCCTTCTGCCTCAGCCTCCTGAGTAGCTGGGACTACAGGCATGCACCACCATGCAGTTGTCCGATTAATTTCTTTCTATTTTTAGTAGAGACGGGGTCTCGCTCTTGCTCAGGCTGGTTTCGAACTCCTGAGCTGAAACAATCCGCCCGTCTCGGCCTCCCAGAGTGCAAGGATTACAGGCGTGAGCCACCGCACCCGGCCTGATCATAAGTTTTTATGTACGACTATGGAAAAGAAAGAAAAAGGACTTACCTCATCTACAGACACAGGAAGGATGACTCGACTACAAGAAAGGGAAAAGATAGTATCAACTTCAGGTTCTGCAACCTGCCTGAGGCTCTTAAAGCCGGGGTCCTCAACCTATGGTGCGTTGTGTAATTATTTCATTATATATTACAATGTAAAAATAATAGAAATAAAGTACACAATAAATGTAATGCACTTAAATCATCCTGAAACCATCCCCCCTCTCCCTGGTCTGTGGAAAAATTGTCTTCCATGAAAATGGTCCATGGTGCCAAAAAGGTTGGGACCACTATCTTAAAGCATCATGTTAGAAGAGTATTCAATGTTCTGTTGTGTATGACACCATACTCACTGAAAAAAAACCCAGCAGAGAAGGCCCTCTGAGTGCTTCGAGGCTAGGACCCTCTATACCCTTCTGGCATCCCATTTAGAACCGTGTGATTCAATCTACACCTGTCCCCCAACTGGCTACTTCCCAAGCCTCTGACTCACATTTGAAGTCACATTTCCTCCTCCCTCACCCACATCTTCTCCAACAAGACTTGCCAATGAGTCCAGTAAAACAGAGTGGTTAACGCAGGAGGGCCTACCATGATGAGGATTCAGACCCAGAGAATCAGGCCTTTGGGATTTACATCTCTGTGGACCCAGCCTCCCCAAAACAGCCCTCTAGCTGAAAAGCTAGGAAAGGGCCAAGCCCCTTGGAGGCTTAATCACCCTAAGAGTACAAACCAACCACTTTTGTTCTAGGGCAGGATATTACAATACAAGCTACTACTATGAAGCCACCAAAAGAGGACACTCAACTTGTGTCCTGACCTCCAGAAGCTGTCCAAAGATACCCCAACTCATCATTTTCTTCTCCATCTCAATTGCTATAGGTACGACCAGTAACCTGATGAAGAAGCCATGGCCAGAAAAATCCCCACAAGGGTCTGAACCCCAGAGGTGCTAGGGCTAGCAGCACTTCTCTGGGGTAGCTTGCATTTTTAATGCAGACCAACGGCCAACCCCGAGTTCAAAGCTGTGAGTTCAGAGAGCTGAGACAAAAACCCTTGGTTGTACTCATACAAGTCAAGCCAGTTCCCAAGCTTAGAGTCTCAGTCCCCAGACCCTTGCTGGAATCCTCTGGGCCCTTCTGTGTCTTGCATGCTTAGTGAAGCGTGAGCTGCTATGCCCTCCTTCTTCTGCACTGGGTTCGTCATTCGGGCTCCTTGCTCCAGACTAGTAAATAGCTCACTATTTTCTAGTTCCACAAAGGTCCCCCAGGCAGCAAGAAGCACACAGAGGGGTCTAAGGAAAACATCATGCTAAAGGCACTGAGCAGAAAAGTTGCAGGAAAAACAAAATGGGCTCCAAGTCTTTACTGTCTGCTCACAACTCCTCTCCTCTAGAAGGACTCAAATAACGTAAACCCTCCAGTTTATTGGATGCTGCCACTAACGCTCTCCTCCCATTAGAGAAAAGCAACAATGCAGAAAAATACTCTCAATTTGGAGGCCAGAATTTCTGCACCCTCAGAAGAAACTTCCTAGAAAACAATAAGCCTTTTATCTTTAAGAACAGCAGCAAAAATCACATTCAAGAATTTGCAGAAACCAAATCAAGGAGAATCCTGCTAGAGGAAGTGTCAGAAAAATCAACAGGGACAACCTTCAAACCCTGGGTGGGCCCCAAGTCTCCTCCCAGAAAAGACTGGCATTGGCCAACTCCTGATAGGATGCTCTGAGGCTGCTTACGTTACAACAGCACACCCAGATGTTGCTCCCTCGCTCCTTAGGAAAACCACATCAGCGACAATAGGGTACAATTCCAAAGAACAGGGCCACAGAAGCACTGCTGGGCTGAGACTGGAGCAGCGCTCACTACAACATGACCTTCACTCGCACTCTTCCCAGAGCTGCAGCGCTGCAGCCACAGCCAAGTGGCTCAAATGCCCCCCCATCCCTGCCCTGTGTGATGTACACACAGGGCACAAGTCGAGCCGGAAGGAAATGCAGGTGCCAGGCAGGCTCTGCATCCCCAGCACCTTGGACTTTTCCCTGGCAGGCTTCAAGGGGAGGAGAACAAAGAATGGGAAAGGAGCTCCTCTCTTCAAAACTCACTCAGATCTCTTCTGAAGGTCCCTTCCTTTCCCTGCCTGACCTTCTTTTCAAAACTACAGATTTCTGCAGAGTCTAAGATTCATCTGGGAATAGGAAAAAAGATCAGAAGAATGGAAAAAGCCTGTTACTCTGGACATTCAAGATTAAAATCCAAAGTGTACCATGTTCTCCTCCTGTTGACATCCTAAGGGTCTTCCTCCTCATCACATAAAGCTCTGAGTCCTGGCTGCATTAACATCAGACTGGATGTCAAGAAGTAGAGATGGGGGGCCTGAAAATAATGCTCTTCGGATGAGGTGCCAACCTGGGATGACACCTGGGTCTCTGCTCCCTTTGTTATCCAAACTCCACACTATGTCCTAAATGTCCTAGACACCTCCAAGAAGCAAGCCTGGTGAGGATGGACAAAGTGTCTTCACTGGCAACATGGAAAGAGCCCTCTGTACAACTGCCTGGCTACCCAAAGAGTTCCACAAGTCACTCTCCGCTTGGACTTCTCCCACTTCCGGACTTCCAGGGCTTCTGGCCCAGTGCTGCCACTTGCTCTCCCTCCAGGGAAGCAGTTTGGCTGCACATTCTGCGCACACACACCCAGTCTCTCCTCTTTTTTGCGGAAAAAAGTCCTGTGATATTTACTTGGAACCAGGAGCTTCAGCAATGGGCCATCTTATACTTGAAAGATTTAGCAATTCAAACATCTCCACCTGTCACCCAGTCCCCTGGATGACAGGAGCAAACCCATCTTCCTGTAACTCCTACCAGAAGTCACCAGTTTCCCAGCCTCCTAGTCACTCCTCAAGAACTCCCCTACTCTTCACTGTCTTTCCTCAATTAATGGCTTTATGGACACCTCAGTTCCTCAAAGCAATTTCCCCATCTCTCTGCACCAAGACTGAGGACCTCCTGAGACAAGCTGGCCCTGCCTTGGTGCCCCCCACCTCCAATAAGGGGTATATTCATTTATAAACATACTCTCTTTCTGGACTGTCCTCTACCCTGGTAACTTCTTAGTCCCTCGTATCACTTCAGACCCTGCCCAGTATCTTCTGGACTCCTCACCCAAGTGTCCCCAAGTCCCAAGCTTTTTTCCAAATGCCTCCTCTTCTGTACCTACTGCTTGGGCGCCTTGTCACTCCAGTCCCCTGTATCTCAGCCCCCTGTGCTTTACGTCTTCAGACCCTTCCCCTGTCACCCAAACCTGGCCCTGACTCTGAAGTCCTTTTCTGTGTCCAGTTAATACAATCCTTCTCCTGATGTCTAAGGTGGCCACTCCTCATGCTCCGGGTTCCCCTCAGCACTCCTCCCCATCATCTCAACTCCGTTCTGGAGCTGTCTTATCTGATCTTCCCTCCTCCTTAGTACTCTCGAACCCCTCCCCACCACCGGGGGCCCTGCCTGCCCTTGCGCGATGGTCTTCAGCCGCTAAGACGACAACTCCGTCTCCGCCGGTCCCCTCAGCCCAGCCTGCAGTTCTGGCTGGCCCCTTCATCCCTCAGCTCCCACTGCAAGACCACCCCACATCTCGTGCTCTCTGTCCCCTCAGCCCCTCCTCATGCCCTGTCTGGCTCTCACTGTCCCCTTGACCCCACATCAGGCCCTGTCTTGCCCTCATCGTCCCCTCGCCTCCCCTCAAGCCTGTTCGGCCCTCACTGCCCCTTGGGTCCCACCTCAGGTGCTGTCTGGCCCTCTCTATCCCCCATGGCCCCACCTCAGGCCCTGTCCGGCCCTCACTGTCCCCTCGGCCCCTGCTGGGTCGCCCATCCAGCGCTCTCCGTCCCCTCCACCGGGCCATCAGCCTCCCTGGTCGTCATCCCCAACCCTCCCTTCCTCCTCCCTTCCGCACAGCCGGCCGGACACTCACTACTCCTTGAGCACCACCATGTCGCTTCGCGGCTCGGTGGCTGCCCGCTGCCCGCCCGGCCTCCCGCCCGCTTCCCGGCGGCCGCTCTCCCCGTGGCCCGGCCCGGCCCGGCTGCCTGTGCGCCTTCGTCGTGGTCTGCTCCGTCCCCGCCGCTCTCGCTGCGGTCGCCGCGCCGGCTCCTGCCGCCCCGGCCTCGCCGCCTCCCGCGCCGCTGCCGACGCCGCCCGGAGCTCCGGTTCCGCAGCGCCGCGCGGGGGCGGGGCGTCTCTGCGGCAACCAGAGCGTCACACGTCGCGGTGCGCGCTGACCTCAGCGCGGAGGCGGGGCCTTCCCGAGCCCGCCCCGTCCCGTCCTTAAATCGGCCGCGGCGCAGGGCTCGCCATCCAAGGTGGGCCCGCCCCGTGCGCCAGACCCGGGCAGTAGGCGGAGACACTGAGGTGTCTGGCAGGGTCCTGGGTGTAAACGCTCTTCTGCAGCCGGAGCCGGAATGCACCTGTATGCTGGGGCCTCCCCGGTGGGGTGCGTTGAGATCCGGAAAAAGGTTGTGTCAAAAAATATTAATAAGAAACACATTTATGTGCAAGTCCTCTTCTAAGTGCTTGACCCCTCGCAACAACTCTACCAGAAAGGTACTGTTACTCTTCCCATTTCACAGGTGAGGAGAAGGAGAAGGACTTGTCTAAGTCCACAGCTGGTATGTGGTGGAGCTCGGATTTTAACCAAGCAGTCGTAGTGTAATGTCATCCATCCAGTAAATATGTGCTGAGTGTCTGTTGTGTCCCAAGCCTGTATTTTTGTTGAGAGAGTGAACATGGCAGATACTATGTGGCCCTTTAGGGAACTCAGGGTCAATGGAGGTGGGTAGGTGGGTAGCTGGGGGAGACAGAACCAGGCAATTAGAACGAACAGGGCTGTGAGAGGTGAAACATGGCCTTGGTGGGGTACACCAGAGGGGTGTGAGGGGTGTAGTCAGGGAAGGCATCCTGGAGGAAGAGACCATCAGCTGAGATCTGCAGTGGCGGGCTGGGGAGAAGAGCACAGAAGGCAGAGTGCATGCAAAGGCTGGAGGCAAGAGGGAGATCACCATGCATTTGGGGAACTGACAGAAGTGACTGGGGCATAAATTTTGGGGGCTGAGGAGCTGGGAGGGGAGTTGGGTGCCTGGTGGGTGATGATAAGGTGTTTAGAGTTTATTGTAAGGGCCATGGGAAGGCATTTAAGGTTCTGAACAGTGATGTGAGCAGGAGTCCTGTGTGAAGGCTCACTCTGGTGGCTGGGTGGAGGAGAGGATATGGAGGCAGGGAGATGAGTTAGGACAGGGCTGCTGCAGAAGTCCAGCTGAAGGTGGACTAAGACAGTGGTTGGAGGGAAGAAAAGGAAGGGGTGGATTCAGGAACAACTCAGAAGGTAAACTCTGCAAGACCTGTGGACTCACTGGCTGAGAGGATGAGAATGAGGAGAGAAAACCACCCAGGTTTTCTGGCCTGGGAGCCTGGACGGACAGTACTGCCCTCGCTGAGAACACAGGAAAGGGAGGTATGGGGGCAGATGATGACTCCAGCGTTGGACTCATTGAGTCCAGAGTGCTCGAAGGGCATCTAGGTGAGAGGGTGAGCAGGCTTCCCAAGAAGGAAGGTCCAAGACAGGCGGCCATATTGCTATCAAGCTGTGACTGATGCTCCAGGACCACCCTGAGTATTGTACTCATTCATCAAATCCTAGGGTGGGGCCACGGAGAGCCCCAGAAATCCAAGCCCAAGCCCCTGGAGGGATGACCAAGAAAAGAGACATTATGACCTGAAGTCCAGGATTAAATAAGTGGCCTGGACCCTGGTCTCCTGAGGGCCTAGCCTAATATCAATGAATAATAATTTAACAAATGCCACATGCTGGCTCTCTCCAGGATGCAAGCAAACCCTGCCCTTTGGGAACTTGCAATCTAGTTGGGAAAACTCCATTTATTCACTTACTGAATAAATATTCATTGACCACCTGGCCCCATCCTATGGCTTTTTCTAGGCACTTAGGATACAGGGATGACCAAAAAAACATGAGGTCTTTCCCTTGCTGAATGGGAAGGAAGTAGAATATAAACGAATACAGAAATCACTTCCAGTAGTGATAGATGTTATGAAGAATAGGTGACTTTGGCCTTGGCGGGTGGCCTTACTCAGGTGGTCAGGGAAGACTCTTGAAGGAGGCAGCATTTAGACTGAGACCAGGATGACTAGGGAGGAATCACTGATAAACTAGCTCCTTAGCTGATAAGAGTTGAGGGAAGGTGGGATTGGAGGGCTGTGCTGGGTGGTGGTGGGGAATAAAAATCCAAACAATCAAAATGCCTGAGTGGCTGGGCGCGGTGGCTCACCCCTGTAATCCTAGCACTCTGGGAGGCTGAGGTGGGAAGATCGCTCAAGGTCAGGAGTTCAAGACCACCCTGAGCAATAGTGAGACCCCGTCTCCACTAAAACAATAGAAAGAAATTAGCTGGACCACTAAAAATATATAGAAAAAATTAGCCAGGCATGGTGATACATGCCTGTAGTCCCAGCTACTCGGGAAGCTGAGGCAGGAGGATCGCTTGAGCCCAGGGGTTTGAGGTTGCTGTGAGCTAGCCTGATGCCACGACACTCTAGCCCGGGCAACAGAGCAAGACTCTGTCTCAAAAAAAAAAAAAAAAAAAAAAATGCCTGAGAAACAGCCTCTTCCCTCCAGGAGCTCATGGAGTGGAGACCTGGCGCTTGCAGAAAACTCTGAGTAGCCACTGGAGATAGCTATAAAGGTGAACACGTGTGACACATGGAACAGTGCAGGAGATGGTTCAGGGAGGTGTGGGAAGTGTCCCAGGATGTGGGGGACATGAACCAGGCTTGGCTAGGAAGAGGGAATGGCATCTCGAGAAGGAAACTAGCATAGACAAAGGCGCAGAGGAAGGATTCCACACAGGTGGAATTTCCTCGTTATTATTATTGGGAAAAGGATGTTATGAGGGAGAAGGGATGGACACTACTGCCCCTCAAAACTACTTCTGCGTGCTCTAGGCTTAAAAGAGGAATGAGGCCACGCGTGGTGGCTGACACCCCTAATCCTAGCACTCTGGCAGCCGAGGCAGGAGGATTGCTTGAAGCTGGGGTTTGAGGCTACAGTGAGCTATGATCTGGCCACTGGACTCCAGCCCTGTCTCTAAAAAAAACAAAAACAAAAGGAAAAAAAAAGGGGAGAGAAAGAAGCAAGTGTCACAGATATCTGTGTCTCTTTCTTTCTTTTTTTCAGAGCCAGGATCTTTCTGTGTCACCCAGGCTGGAGTGCAGTGGCGTCATCATAGCTCACTGCAGCCTCGAACTCCTGGGTTCAAGCGATCCTCCCACCTCCAGCTCCAGTTCCGTGTGTCTTTCTTTGCCTTGTTGCCTCTCTGTCTTCTCTTTGTTTCTCTAGCTCCTTCTGGCCCTCCTCTATGTATCTTTTTGTCTCTCTTCATTTTTCTGTCTCTCCCTGTACCTCCCTCTCTCTCTCTCTTTCTCTCCATTTCTGTTTTCTCTGTCTCTCTACTCCACATCTCTCTCTGTCTCTGTTTCTCTCTCTTTTGCTGTCTCCACTCTGGGTAACGCACCTTCAGCCTATGTTTCTTTCATCGTCTCTTTGCAGCTGTCTCCTTTCCCCCGTCTGTCTACTCTCTGTTCTGTCTCAGTCTTTCTCTCTCTCTCTGTCTCTCTCAATTCCCCCTTCCCCTTCGTCTTGTGTCTGTGGATCTCATGGCTCCAGACCCCCGTGTCCCCACCGCTCCACCCCACACGCTGTGGCTTCTCCTTGCTGGCCCTCGTTACTGCCTCACTTATGGCCATCCCTGTAGCCCATCTCTTGGGGAGACCACTTCACTGTTTCCATCTTCTGCTCTGTCCCTTCCAGGCTGGTGAGAGCATGCTCTTCTCCCAGCCTCTGTCTTGGTCTGTTCCAGCCTCTTTTCTGTTTATTTCTGTCTGTCTCTTTTGAAATTCCATCCCCAAATATTTATTGAGCGGCTATTCCATGCCAGGCACCATTCTAGGCACTGGGGGCTTAGTGGTGACTGAGGCAGAGCAGGTGCCAGCTTTCAAAAAATATTCCTTCTTGGGGAGAGACAGACACTAGACAAAAGAACATAAACAGGTGATCCTGCTGTCCAGCTTGTCCCACTGGGCAGAGGAGTGTTGGCCAGGCCAGGCCAGACTGTGGGCAGGGACTCAGGCCTGGGAGGGTGAGCTAGCTCTGCTCCAAGCTTTGCCTGACAATTTCCCATCTCTAAATAGCGACTGTGGGCCACTCAAGAAACTAGACTAGAGTGTTTAACCCATTTGCTCACTCAACAACATTCATTATGAGCCAGGCTAGGGGAGACCAAAGTAAAAAGAAAAAGGTCCCAGCCCACATAGGGCCACGACCTAATGCAGAAGGGAGACAAGCGTCATTTCTGTTGGAGCAGAGGAAATACACAGGAGATGCTTTGGGCACCCAAAAGAGACCAAGAGGTCCTTTGCTGCCTCCTCTTCTCTCTCTGCCTCTGGCAGTGTTTGACCTATATAGGGTTAAAAATGATTTGAGCAGCTGTGATTTTTTAAAAAAAATTCTTTTGAGCCAACATTTGAAAATGGGGATATTTTATATAAAACTCAGGATTTCCAGCAGAAAAAAATCAGAATCTGGGAGCACTGCGCTCTTTTCGCATGACAGTGATTGGCTGGAGCTGTGTCCGGCTGTCCTTTGAGATGGGGGCTGTGACCTCTAGGTCCCCCCAGGCCCCACTAAATCCTTTTATGTCCCTGACATGGAGATCGAGGTCCAGCTGTCCCCGTGTCACTGCAGAGCATATGCTGTGGCTCTGCTCACACCGGGGAAGTGTTTCTCTGTGCTGTCTCCAGCACAAGTGGGAAAAGGAGAGGCAGCCATAAAGGCATATGGCTGAGCCCAGCGTTCAAGTCCGCAGCCTGGACGGGGAGCAGCCCCCACGCACTTCCATCTAGCGTCTCTCTGCCCTGGCTGCTGTGTAGGGCCCCCAGAGGCCATCCACACCCTCCCCTGCGCCTCAAGCCCCCTCACCTCAGCAGGGTCGGGGGCCAGGCCTCAGAGAGACAGGCAGCCCCTCCCCCCCTGGCTAGGTGGGCATCTCCTTGGGGCTTCTCTGGGAAGGAAAAGGGGCCCCGTTTAGAATCAGAATTCACTGGTGGTCTCGGTCTTCCCACCCAAGGGCCGCCTGCCCCGTCCCTCCCACAGCTCAAGTGGCAGTGCAGACGCCACACCAGCAAACACAGCCTCGGGGAGGGGTGGGGCCAGGTGACAGGGAATCAGGGCAAGAGACAGAGGCAAGGGATTTGTGACATGGAAGGAGACAGGAGCTGAGGAGAAAGCAGTTCTTAGTCATTCTCAGCATACATTTATTGAGTGCTTACTGTGTGCCAGGAAGTAAGCCAGGTGCTGGAAACAGCAAAGGGGCAGGGAAGAGTAGGGGTCAGCTGCTGAGTTGTCAAGGACACTGTATTGACCCTGGTTGATACAGGGAATGGATTAACCCTCCAAGGTACCACTTGGAGGGCCTGGGCTGGGTCCTTGGGCCAGGCCTGCCTAGATGATCTTTCCAGCAATGGAAAGGGATATGGCAAGGTAAGACCCTCCCGCTCTGTTCCATCCAGGTACGAGGCACACGGACAAGCTCCTCCACACGTGCACACCCCAGACACACACACACACAGATACACACACAGACACACACACACACAGAGTTAGAGGCACAGCCAAGCAGTTTTACAAGGAGGAGGAGTAGAGATGCTGCCTAGGTGACCATGATCTGAGTCACCCCACTCAACATAAACCTGTCACCATTCAGAAATTATCTTGAGAAGCTTTTTGGCCAAGTCTTACCAAAATGTGAAAGCCACAAAAGACAAGCGAACAAGGGAATCATTTCTTAAGGCTTCTGCTTAGAGAGGGGTTGTGAGAGGGCTAGGGGTCGGCAGATACAGACCTCACTTTCTCGAGCTGGCCAAGGGCCTGTCCTGATCAGAGCAATGCAAGATAGGTATCCTGTTACGTGGGCCGGGTGAACAGGGAGTGCCTCGTTCCCTGTGCTAGCTGCCTTCTTCCAGGGTCCTAAAAGTAATGCTACTGTTAAGTGCCTGTTAAGTACCAGGTATACTACTGGGCAGGTGCTCACCTACGTGTTCACTTAGCCACACTGTGAAGGTATTACTACCTCCGTTTTACAGATGAGAAACTGAAGCTCCACTGGTGCCTAAGGCCACCAAGACCCCCAACCTTTGCTCTTCCCTCATTGCCTCCTTGGCATGGAGCAATGGAGCCTCACTCTGAGAGGGGTCGAGGCCCCAGATCTGCCCAGGAAGGTGAAAATGACTAACTGCAGAGACCAGGGGGCATGGCGGTGGCTCCATGCTGGCAGGGACTGTGGGTTACCATCCTTGAGTTGGGCTTCCAGTAATTGGCACAGATAAAGTACCTACCTGCCTCAAGAGCCCATGAGAACCCATCCTGTTACCCTTCAGAGGGAGATGAGCTGATGCTTAGATGGCCCTGACTGCCAGTTCTGTGGAGAAGCCTCCTCGGAGGTCACGGCAGGAGCCCTTCACCACGGGATGGCCACAGCTTGTCCGCACCCCGACTCCTGGTCATTATCTGCTCACATTCATACAGGCTGACACAAGAGACCGTTAGAAACCCCACATGGCTGAATGTGTCTGTGCTACTGTCTAGGACAGTCCTGCATGCATAAACCCAATACTAGATATCCCACCGTTTTCGGTGTCCTTGGGGCCTAGGGCAATGTGACGCTATCCTCAGACTGCACAGCACAGGGCCATGACAAGGATTTGAGAAGAAGTAGTTCTTTGACCAGGATGATACTAGGAACAAGAGGGGAAGGCAAATGGAGCAAACCAGAATCCACAGGGGCCTGTGGCTACATTGTTGGCCAACCCTCCCTGTTTTCGGGCCCAGGCAGTGGGAGCTGCAGTCAGAGGCCTCGAGGGTTGGAGGAAGCCAACCACAAAGGAATATCTAGACCCCAGGGCCTGGTGAAGAGAGGGGCTCCGGGCAGTGCTCCAGAGGCTGGCTCAGCCCCTTCCTCACTCTGAAAGCACAGGGCCAGGTGTCACTCCCTGCTTCTTCCCACCAGGGCCCTGCAGGACAAGGGAAAAGACAGGAGCACTGCGGCCACTAGGTGCCCACTGCCTTGATCAGCCATGGTCCCTCCCCCATCTCAGGGTACTCCTCTTGGGGGTTGAGGTCACTAGGGAATTTCTCCCCCAGGTACTCATCAGCCTCCAGGGCCAACACGATTCTACCAAGCCCACTGCTTCCTCTGAGAAAGCTCTTGGCCCCCAGAAACAGACTATGCCTGGGCTGGTTCCCCTTCCTCAGGCAGTTGCCTCCCTGCTGCAGAGGCCTGGTGGCTCCCGGGGCTGCTGCTCCAAATGGAATGTCCCTGTCCAGAGGGCCTTGGCCGCTCCAATGACTTAAGACCCATGTGAGTCCTGGTTCTAACCTTGAGCAAGTTAGTGTACTTGTTTGGGCCTCAATTTTTTCAGCTATAAAATAAGGATAGTATCTATTTGATTCCTAGATTGTCATCACAATTCAGTGATAACAGGGAAACATGTAAACTGCCAACTCTGTACAAAGTCAGGGTAGAATGGCCCCTGACTAGGCGGTGGGGGTGCAGGTGGTACCCGACCCCTCTGGCTACCCACAACCTTTGTGCTCTGTGACTATCTTCATGCCTCAAGTCCCCAAACACTGTTGGCCCTGAACTGCTTTCCACCCTTGATGCTAGTTTCTCATCCCACAAAGGGCCACACCCTTGGGGAGGGTGGGAGAATGAGGCAGCAGCCCCCATTTTGGCTGGGCCTGGGCACTGCTGGGTACAGCACAGGCCATGTCCGCCCAACCTCAATACCACATCTTCCCAGCTGGAAGGGCCCTACCTCATTTGTTTTCCCGATCTGCATTCCTCTTCCGTGGTGGGTCTCAAGCTCAGGGAGGCACCAGAATCCCCAGTCAGAGGCACGACCTAGACCTAGAGCCCATGTTCCTAACCAGCGCCCCAGGAGCTTCTGCTGCGGGTGCTCACTGGGCCACGCCTGGAGTCAGATGGCTCTGGTTTTCTCCTCAGCAGGAAACCTGCCACACTGTCAGAGCCACAAAGTTCGTGAGTCATGAGTGTGCAGAAAGCAATGCAAGTGCTTCATTGTAACAGGCTGGACTTGAACTCAGCCTTTCCTAAATTTGACTATAGAACTTGTTAAAAAACTAGAATGATCATTAACTTATCACAGAATAAGTGTTCTAAGGAGTGGTTTGGGAAATGTGGACCTATTTCTCTCTCCTCGGTTTTTTTGGGGGGAGAAGGGGAGTTTGATTTTACCATTTGAGTGGACTAAAGCCTAGGAGACGGGGTGTGTTTGAGGTGCCCCGGTGTTAATGCAGAGCTTGAATTCGGCCTGGCTGCCCTCTCCTGTTCTCCTTCGTCCCCCCACCACATCCTGACTCTGCTCTCTCTGAGCCTGTGGCTCTCCTGGGCTCACCTTGTGTCCTGAGCTCAGGGGAAACCTTCAGGGTTGTGGAAGGGTGACAGGAAATCTGTGTAGGGGATGGAAAGGGTTGGGATTAGCCTGTTTGGCTGAGGGAAGCAACGGGGCGGTGGTCCACACTTCTAAGATGTCTGCACAAGCCCTGTTTGTTTGGGGATGGGAAAGTAAGGTCTTTTCCTGGCCGGCCCACCGCCCCTCCCAAGACGGCAGTCCCCCAGAGAGATGGGGAGCAGCTGGGTATGGCTGGGGCTGGTCAGTGGCAGAAAATGCTGTCCTGCCTTTTCTTCTCAAGGTCAAAACAGGCACATGCAGCCATTAACTGATATGCTAGAAGGGGCATCCCTTACCCAGGAGGAAAATGGATTTATTGCTTTATAAAAAGAAGTCTGACAAAACTTCAAAAGAGGAAAAAAACAACTAAAAACCTAAAAAATCAACTCACCCCTCTCAGCACTCCCAGGAGGTCTCAGACACATTTCTGGGGGCAGTCAAGGTGGGTGGGTGGGTGGGTGAGCCAGGAAGGCCTGGCCTCTCCCGCGTAAACAGTGCCAGGGCCCTGGCAGAGTCCGCCAGCAGGGGGCGCTATGGCCCTGTGGCCTTATACTGGCTCCTGGCTGTGAGCCAGGCGGCTCCCTCGTGCAGGGCCTGTTGCAGGCCTGGTTGGCTCCTGGTCTGGCGGGTGGGAACAGGGGCAGACGCCCCCAGAGCCCACCCACACCCCATCTCACACATACCACATGCACACACACACCCTGGGGCCCATCACAAATCCACTTCCCAGCCCAGGCCTGGGCCTCCACGTCTGTGAGCCGCAGCCTTACTCCCACCCCCACAGAACAGCTGTGTATGTGGGGGGCGCCCTGGTGGTGGTCCTTTAATCCCCCTCAGGTGGCAGACTGGCCTCAGGTGGCAGGGGAAATGCGCTGCCCCTGTAGGCCCTGAGGGAAGAGACGCGGGACTTCCGGTCGTCAGCCTTGTCCACACTCCTGAGGCTTTTGTGCGACCACCTGGCCCTCATCCCTCCCCAGGCTGGAAGCCAGGGGGGCTTCTCCACAGGCCTCAAATGGGAGGACAGGCCATGGGGGGCTGGAATTACAAAGGAGTTAGCACCAACAACAGGAAGCGGGTCCTTCCTTCCTCAGGCAGCCTCACACTGGCCAGAGGAGGAGGTGAGGGGCCAGGCGAGGGGGTGCAGACAGTGCAAGCCTTTGTCCTTGGGCAGGCGTGGCCGGTGGGCATGCAGCCAAGAGGCAGGTGGCGGCAGGGGATGGCAGACCCCTCTGCTTTGGCAAGAGGCAGAATCCAGACACTCGAGGGAGAGAGCCTCCTCCTGCAGGCACCGTGGAGCCCCGGGGCCCCAGGGTCCTTCGGGGGCAGCAGCAGAGCAGCCCCTGCTTTTAGCAATAGAGACTGGCCCGTCCTGGGCCTTCTCCTGTCCTTCCACCACAGAGCTCTGAGGCAGACCAGGCCCCTGGGACGGAGCGTGGACTCCAACATGGTGAAGGAGAGGGTCCTAGGGGTGCGTGGGGTCCTCTGGGGTGGGGAGGAGGACACGGATCAGTCACTGAAGCACAGGCAGGAGGCCCCAGTTCCGAGGTGGCAGGCGCTACACAAAGGCCTCCCGGTTGGATGAACCGTTGATCTTGAGGAAAAGCTTGTCGTCCTCCTGCTTCTGCTGCAGCTGCCTCTCCAGCTGGCGCCGGTAGCAAATCAGGTAGAGGGGCAGGCAGAACCCCAGCATGCTCAGGGCAAGCAGCCCCACGTTCACCTGTGGGCAGGGAGCAGCCAGGCCGTCACAGTGGGCAGGGGCGAGGTTCCAGATCCTCACACTCAGGTTTGGGAAAGGGGAGAAGGGCACAGGAGAGGAGAGGAAAAAACAAAACACGAAGGTCCAAAAGGTCCGAGAGCCCGTCCTTCCACATTCCAGCATCCGAATTCCCCAGTTTTCCATGGGCCTCGGCAGCCCTCGGGGCCTGGGCCCCATCTCAGACCTATTGATCTGAATCTCCAGGGGTGGGGCCGGGGTTGGGACAGGCCCCTGGTACCTAGTCAAGAATCCCTGCCCTTGCAGGAGGGGCTGGGACAGGAATGCTATTCCATTTACCCCGAAATCAGCCCCAGAGGGGATTTCTCTCCTCCTGTCTGGCCACCGTTCACAAGGGGACCCTGAATTGATCCTAACCCAAATTTCCAAACAGCCCATCCTCAGGGCTCTGAAGCCCCCTAAGTGATGCCTCCCAGCTCCCAGTCAGCAGGTGCCCCGGGCCCCCTGCCCCCGACCTTTCTTACCCACAGAGGGTCTCCTTGGAGGGGACCCATCATGGCCAGAAACAGTGGCTGCTGCAGGAGAGCAAAGAGCGCGCTGACCAGAGACTGCAGTCCTGTGAGGCTGCCGAACTGAGTGGAGGGGTACCTGTCGGGGCAACCGACACTCGTCACAGCCAGTGCCATCCTCGTAGGCTCAGCCTGGCCCCAGGTGTCTGGTGACCCCAGGATGCACCCTTGGCGCCAGAGAGGGGTGGGGTGCTGGCCCCTGAATTACTTTCTGCTGAGCAGTTCTGCAAAGTGTTTCTCTTTCCGACCAGCCCGAGGCCCCAGAGTCTGGGGAGGGCCATACCACCTAGATGTGCCCCAGGCCTACGGGTGTCTGGCTGAGCTGAGTGGAAAGTGTGGTGCTGGCAGGAGTCTGCAGCTTGGGAAACAGGCCCAGGGAGCAGGTTGGAGGCTGGGCCAGGCGCTGCTGTACCCTCATCCAGAGGAGCATTGTGTAATCACGGAAAGTCAGCATCACAGCTCTTGCCTGACTCCCTCAGGCCCTGCCAGGGCAACCACAACTTCCTCCAGGCCTGGCACAGGGGAGGCGGAGGACAAGCAGACCTGGAATGACCCCATGGGATGCTGTAGGACGGGGAGAGAGTTCTGGGTTAAATCTTAACACACATCAGGCTTTGCTGCCCCAGAAGCAGGAAGGGGCTGCCAGCAAGGAATGAGCTGGTTCCACAGCCAGAGACAGTAGATGATGGCGTTCAGGTTCCAGTTTTCGGGCCACGCCCCAAGCCAGAGAAGGAGGAACACTGTGGTTTCTTATGGAGGTGTGGTCTCTTAGGAAGAGATGCACATTTCATTTTAGCCAGGGCCCAAGAAAGCTATGCAGACCTGAGCCCTTAGAGGCTCTAGGTGAGGACTGTTTGGTACAACTGGGCTCCGTACTTATGCTGCTGCCCCTGGTAAGGGCCATGTGAACTTCATCATTTAGCTTCAGGCAGCCAGAACCCACCCCTGCCCGTTCCAGTGAGCAGCCAGGGCCAGCCCCAGGACTCAGCTGAGTGGCGGCCCCTGAGGCCACAATGAGCTGCACAGGGCACTAACCCTGGCAGAGGGAACTGACTTCGTGTTAAATGCCAAGGCTCATGGGCACCCAACTGTCTGCCCACTGACCCACCTCCCACGAAGTATGGCCTTCCCCTGACACACCCAGCTGGAAACCTGGTACCTCTCCCCTGATGCAAGCAGATGAACCCTGCTAGGGCAGCTGTCCAAGCCTCAGAGTCTCAGTCCCACCAGCGACTTCCCTCAGGCCATTCCCACACCCTCGGCCACCAAACCACCTGCAGCTTCCAGGACTTACACAGCAGCATACAGGCCCCCGGCGGCAGAGTGGATGAATCCTCGGACAATTGTGTGCAGGATGAAGGAGATGATCTGAGGGAGGGAGAGCAAAGCATGAGCAGAAGTCCCCGAGGGGCCCTCACCTTGTCCCCCACCCTCCAGCAGTAGCAGCCTGAAGTCAGCTTGGACCAGCTCTCCAGAGCCAGCTGTTGAATTTTCAGAAATTTTACAAGCCAGTTGTTAAACATAGTGATTACTGAAAATTAAATTACATAAACTTACAATTAAATAAATAAATTATATTACAATAAAGGTGATGAATACTCAAAACTCATCACTTCCTAGTTATTTCACTACCTTTCGGTTTCACTACTATCGGTTTCACTACTATCGGTGCTCCTCGGGGTTTTCACACCTATTGTATGTGTGTGGTAGAAACACCAGGTGATGGTGTGTTGCTGTGACTCTCTTTCCAACCCACAGTCAGTGACGTCATGCTGGCAGCTTGAAATCAGCCATGATGACATCACAGCATTTACACCACACAGATCTGCAAACGCTGCAAATCGGGGCTCTGTTGTTAAATATGCATCCACACAGCACTCCTGAGCAGGAGGGTCACTAACCTGACCTTGATCTCCTACCTTTACCCACCTGAGGAGTGTGCAGAGGGCTCCCTGCCTGATCACTCCCTAGCAAAATTCTGTTGCTGTCTGTGGGAGGCCCCTTCCCAGGCAGGCCACTGCCAGCAGGCCCAGCGAGCTCTGAGAAGCACTTGTTAATGATTCTGGAGAGGCACAAGAGCTGTTCACGTTGCCACCAGGACCCTGTGTTTGCCCTTTTTCTTTTGTACATGGCCCTGCCATCTTGCTCGGCAGCCAGGACCTGTTCCCAGGAATGCGGATGGTGGAGGGAGCAGGGGCTGCGCCCGAATGCGCACGCACACCTGTGCAGGCACCCCCTCTCCACTTCAAATGACTTGTTGCCTTTTCACAACTTTTCTTTCAATGAGAACTAAATAAAACAAAAAGCAGATGACTGACCCCACTGAGCATTGCCCCTCACTTGGAAAAGGTGGTCAGGGCAAAGGTCTGCCAGTCTTGCAGAGAGAACAACCCAGGAGACCAGGGAGGGCACGAGGGATGCCATAACATTCCTCCCTGGAACTGGCACAAGGTTTCAGTGCCTTACCTGGTCTGCATGCTCAGTGTGAGCACATACACAAGAGAGTACTGATGGTTAAGTTCATGTACCTTAACACCTGGCCACTTGTAAATAGGGAGGGACTCTTGCTTTCCTCCTGGATCTGGCCCGAGATACCATCTGGACTTGGGCTACACCCATCTGGAAACAAAGCCGTCACTCATGTCTCTCCAAAGTCTGTAGACTTGGGGATTGGGCCAAACCTCTGCTAGACCACCTTCATAGATCTGTGGGTAGAGCCAGGCAGGTGACAAAGTCTACCTGGCTCGTAATCTCTGACAAAAGTCAATTTGCAAAAGCCTTAGAAAGCTTGTGCAAAGGAATTAAGCTTTTGAACCCAGAGAGCAAAGCCATCATCATGGTCTTTCTCCATGCTCCCCAGTGGAGAGACCCTGTGGGCACTCTTGTACCAGGGTGTTCCCGCCAATACCACACATTGGCCAGACCTCTTTGGACATCAAATTCTAGCTGTTTGAGCAAATGCAAAACTAACCACACAACTACCCTAAATGGACTGAACCCCTGCAGGGTTCCTGGAAATGGCATGATGACGGTTTTCATAGTAAGCAAGATGCCCAAAAGATCGAGAATAATATGCCTTCACAGAGAAGAGATCCTCTTCTCTGTGAGAGACGACCCAAGTTTCCTTTACAGCTCACCCTCAGCCTCAAGCAAGAGCCCAGCAGGCAACAGGCCCTCAGTAAATAATGGTAGGTAGTGGGCTGGCGGGTTGAATGGAATAAATGAAAGTCACCATTTGTTTTGTTGATGGATTCCATGACACATCACACAACTTTTAGTCTCTAAACAACGCCCCTTCTTGTTGTCCCATACCCTACCTGCCCTCTCCCTCTCCCCACACCCACCTGCAAAGGCAAGTTGGGGATAAGGCAGGTCACCCCAAAGCCCACAAGCAGCAGGTTTGTGAAGGCAAAGGCCCGCATGGCGTTGGTGATCTTCTGGATCTGCCGGTCCCGCTTCTTCTTCTTCTCGCCTCTGTGGAGACACGGTGCACACAGGAGCTGGGGAGCTCCTCGGAGCAAGCTGGGTCCCCCCAAGAGTAAGGTGTCAGGAGGAGTCACAGTATGTGAACCAACACAAGAATCAGAGGCTACCCAGGCACATTTTAGGGACTGTGTCAGGGCTAGATCGACACTAGGGACACTCCCCGGTCCTCCTTTTCAGTGGAGCACTGAGTGAACCTCCGTGGAGGGTCTCAGATACGAGAAGGTGGTCACTGACACATTGCACCGCCCGAGGGAAGGCTGAGCTCACGCGGTGGGGAGAGAAGGAGAAGAGTGTGCCCAAGCTAGGATGTGGCAGCGCCTCACTTCGCCATTGGCTTCAAGTCCATCCAAATCTTGCAGGAAGCTGATAAGAAGCCAGGTAATAAGCTAAACAGGAGTGAGTGGCTTTTCCCCCGGGGAGCAGGAATGGGCGAAGGGGAAATAAACATGCAGCAGATGGAACCCGAATGGGCAGAAATAACCTCTTGGCTGCAGGATCTGACCTAGATAACAGAGCATTCTCTGTAATTATTTCTTTGTGAATTAACTATTACCAACCCGAGTCTCACCACCCACACAGACACCCCATGGACGGGGCACACAACATCCAAGAACGAATGGCAAGTGCTCAGAGATGTGCAGGGAGGCCCAGGCCCACCACTTCCTAACTATGTGACCTCAGGCAAACAACTCTAACTCCTAGTTTCAGTTCCCTCATCTGCAAAATAGTACCCACTTCACCATGGTGTCGTGAGGCTTCCCTGAAATACTTTGCATTGGGTGCTTGGCACAGGGCCTGGGACAACAAATAGTAGCTTATTATATCAAGGTGGAGTCAGAGAAGACAGCCTTTAACTCATCCTCTGATCTTAGAGCCCAACCCTTGCATCAAGCAGGGCCCCAGAACCTTGTTTCATCCTCACAATCATGAGCAACTCTCGTAACACACGCGGTTACAGAGACTTACTGCTCACACCTCATGGGACCGGCCCTGTGGGCAAGCGGCTGGCTCTAAGGGGGTCTACGTGCTGCCCCTGCCAAGGGTCGGAGGGAGGGCAGTCAGTCCTAGGGGCACAATGGTTTGCCAGCCAGTGGTCTGCACAAACTTTCCCCTGGTTTTTCTCCTCCTTTTGTCCAGCTTGGTGGTTCCTAAACCTTAGGGCACCAAAGAATTCCCATAAAGAGGTGACAGACCTAAACATGTGCTGAGCCGAACTTTGAGCACACTCCTTTCTCGCTTCTCCTGCTGATTAAAAAACCTAACCCGCCCACCCTGCGCCTGCCTGACACGCAACCCGTGGTCTTTCTGCGGGGGCTGGGTGCTGGGAGCCAGGGCGACAGCCCTGCCTACGCACTGGTTGGCGTCTTTCTCCTCGGGCTCCTCAGAGGCATCCTCGCACTCCTTCAGCCTCCAGTCCATGATGTAGCCGATGACGGGGGCCGTCAGGAGGCAGAGCAGCTGGAGCACGCCGAAGATGGAGGTGTAGAGGGCGACTGGGGAGGAAGATGGCGTGTCACGGGGGGTCCTGGCAGAGAGCCCTGGGGTGGGGGCCGGTACCCACAGGCCCTTCTGGGGTCTCCCTTGTCACTGTGGGTCTTGAGGGGAGCCCAGAGACCCTAACCTCTGAAATCAAAGCCAGAACAAGGGGCAGGTCACCCTATTCTCTGCTCTAGATCCCCTGCCTGTTTCCAGGAATCAGCTAATGAAACCCAGTATGTCACAATGACCTCCTCCAGAAGCTCCGGGAAGTCGCTGATTTGGAAACCACGCAATTACCAATGCCTGTTACTGAGGTTTTGTGTGTGACTTGCCATTAGTTTTCTGCCTCTAGAAATATACCAGGAAGGCACTGGGCTTCCCACGTCACAGGGCTTTGACATCACGTGAGATTTTTCAGAGAAACAGAAGCTGAAAGTTGACTGCCCCACCTCTACCCACACGGTTCTAGCCAAGAGGGACGTCAGGAGCTCAGAGCGAGGAGATTCTGGGATGAACGGAGACTGGCTGGGAGGGGATGTCGCAACGTTCCCTGACAAGCCCCCTGCTTACCCGTGGCCATCACTGCATCAAGAAAGCAAAGGTGAAAAGGCAGAAAGGAGAGAGGTTAGCGCAGAAATCTGAACAGCAGTTATCAAGAGGAGGGGAGAGGAGGCTGGCCAGTTGTGGGCCCAGCACACTCCACGGCCCCCGAGACTCGATGCAGGGCGCTCAGGGGAGGCTCAGCTTGAGCCAGGCCTTTGGGAGTGGGCTCAGGAGAGGGCGCGGCCCGGGCGCCCGCTGACGTTTTCCTGACTGCTGGTGCCGCAGTCACGTGCAGCTAGTACTGGTGAATCAGGCCGTGGTGCTGGTCGTGGCGGGCACTGTGATGGGGAAGTGGCTTGCGTGTGGAGGCAAAATCAGAGCCCCTCCCCCACTATCACACAGCCCCTGGGGCACTACTGCTGTGTCACAGTTACCTCCTGCTGCCCTCGGGGAGAGGGGAAGGTCAAAGAATCCTCCCCGTCACCCTGCCAAAGCATCTGACACCATGGGTCTCCCCTAGACAGCCAGAGCTGGTCTCCCTCCCAGCCCCCCC